ATTTCTTCTTTGGTTTCTCATTTCTTTTATAGTCCTTAGGTAATTTCTTCTCCATACTACAATATCGCTTCTTTCTATTAAAATAGACTTTCTGGAATGCTTTTTTCATAGAAAACCTATTTCTTTTAAAAGTTTCCATAGTGTGCTTCGACTCATTTCAGGGTAATCCTTATCATCTCGAACCGTGGCAAGAACTTTGTCTACTGTCGGAAATTCTTTTCTAAAGAAGAACGCATGCACTATCCTTCGAAGTCTTTCTTTCAAAAGATTTTCTAATTAAAATTTTGGTTTCCCTGGAGCTTTACGTGCTGTTTGAAACTCGCCACATTTCTCTTCCTTAACAACTCTGTAAATCGTAGATTTCCCAACACCAAGCGTACTACTAACTAATTCCACTGTGTCATCAACACTTTTACATAAATGTTTGTCTATAAATGATTTAAAACAGTTTAATATTAATATTCTTTCATTAACTGTTAAAGGACCGATTTTTTGTCGTTTACGCGGCCCTTCCAAATTTTCCATGATCACACTAGAATTCACACTGCACCTTGCAAGTTGCAACTAAACGACATTTAGTAAACTGTCAAGAATACACAACTTGGACCTCCTTACTAAATGGAAAACCTATAATCGCATTTTCGGTGAAATTTGTTGGGAAGGTATTTATCTACTTATAATTCGATTACTGTAAGAAATTCTTGGAATTAAAATAAAACAAAATTGGCAAATAGGTACTTATTGAAAATAATCTTAAGATACGGCTATGTAATCTTTAATACACAGGCCTGTCCAAACATTTGTCTATTGTTCTGTACAGCTTATGTTTATACAGGACCAATAAAAGACTCAAAACTTGTAAGAGCTCAGGTACATTTATTACAATTTTAGGAAATATTTAGATTATTCTGTAAAAATATTTAAAATGACCGTACTAAGTTTTGCATTAGAAATGCTGTTTTATTACTCTCTCATACATAAAAATAGACTATAGTTCAGTGATGATGTAATTATGGTACCACTGACAATTAAAGTGACAGTAGATTTTTTGAGTGCATTTTGTTCGTTTTGTTTATCTAAATTATATCGTTTTTTTTCACTTTTATAAATATATTCCTAAATTAAGTAGATAGCATGTATCAAATATATAATCGTTTAGTTACCAATTACATACCTTTAAACTATTTTTTATGACCTGTAAACAATATTTTGAAATAAAATAAAAACAGTAAAAACATATATCTCAAATTTATTGATGTTTTTTTTTTTAAGTCTGGTTAGAATTAAATGTCAGTGGAACCAAAATGACATCACACTGAACTAGCGCATAATGATTTGCCACATAAAAATGTAAACAATTTGGTTTCTTAGTTGTAATGTCTTTGGTTGTCTATCACTCCCCAAAGCATCGGCGTGGGGCCTATGACACATGCAAAAACCCTCTCGACTCCCGGGCTAAGGGGAGATAATAGTGATTCTAAAGATTTATGATGCCTACTTTGATACTGACAGTGTACCATAAGCAAACAATTAATTTTACGACTACATATTTTCTGATTCTGATTTTATTTTTAATTTTAATGTTGCTTTTTTTATATTAGTTTAATTAATTTACGAAGATTTTTATAATATTTTGTTTTATTTCAATTTTACGAAGATTCGCTATTTTATTTGTGCAATGATTTGTATAACTTATTTTTGCAGTTAAAAAATAGAGTGGTCACATTAACTTTTAAAGAACAAAATCCGTATTAAATTAGTATTTATTAAATTGTAGAACGAAAATAATTTTTATAAAAAAATTAATTTGAACTTTTTTACGTTTAATTTTGTTTATAAATACTTTTGTGATCAACTAAGTCAAAAAAACTACAAAAATTGGACAGATTTGTTAGACTATTAGTATATAATATAATAATCAGTTCATCGCCTGATATTTTAAATTTCAAAATATGTAGATACTAAATCGACACAACGTGTATGTAGCACAGAATGTACAAATTAAAATTATTATGTACCGTAATCAAATCAACAGAACATTCAATTATCCCAAAAATCAAATGCATATATGTATTATTCCATGTCATCATTAATTACCGTCTCTAAAAAAATATTAATTAAATAAATGTTTTTTGCTTCATGTAGGCACATATTTTATGCAGCGTTTGGGAAAGATAATATTTTGAAAACTTTATAAATAATTATTTTTTTATTAGTTTTTTTTTATAATAACTAAAAACACGCAAACAAACTAATTAACAAATGACTACAAAAAAATTGATAAATCTGATTTTATATTGAAATTGACGACATAGCTATCTAATTTTAGTTGTTATTTGGCCATATATTATTTAGTTAGTATATTTTTTAACTGCCAGAAATTTTGTTGCCCGAGTTTTCTCTAACTAATGAATTTTTATTTTTTTCAATACTGATGTTAAAGAAACTGTAAACTCAGAATTAACAGGAGCACTAACTTAAAGTTAGCATTTTGGGCATAGAGTTTTAACTTATTTCTAACGTGCGTTAAACAGTAATTGTTTTCGGCTATACTCGGACAAAATATTGGAGAAGGTGAGTCATATGCATAATCAACACTGTTGTCTATGAATGAAAATTCCGACAGAGTTAGCATAGGCTATATTAAATATACGTTTTTGATAGTTTTCAAGAAATATATGTATTCCCTAATAACTTCGTTATCTGTGTTTAATGATTTTAAAATGTGTATCAAGTAAATAAACGACAGACGGGTTACAGATTGAATTTTGTCAGCACAGGCACAAAGACAGTTGAAAACTAACTTTCGACGAAGTTAGATGTGCATCGCTTTAACTATTTACGATAATTATTTTATATTTTATAAACACTTTTTTTTATAAGTGCTCTTTTCTGATATACAAGTAGATGTTCATGTTTGTGCCTTACAATTTGGTAGTGGTAGTGCGTATTCGGAGAGTTATATTTATTGTGTAGTATATTAGGTAGGTACTTTAAAAGTTTATTAAAAAGGAAAATATTGGTGTCTTTATAAATTTAATAAAAACAATTTAACAGTAAAATTATATTGTTACAATAGTAATGGATTCAGAGGCGGGTCCAAGTGAAACCCAATTACGTCGGCGAACGCCCTTATCAAAGGATTAATAGAACATTATATGGAAAGTGTATGATGGGCTGAAACAGACACTTCCTACAAATGAAGCTGTAAACCGCAGTTCTTTTTTTAACTGGAGTATCTGTTTCAACAATTGTACGTATTGTACGCGAAAAGACAAAAAAAAGGCTCCTCAGAAGCCCCATAAAAGGCTCCTTAGAAGCCCCATAAAAGGCATACCCGTGGTCGAAAATGGTTGAAATTGGACAATAACCAAAAACAAATCATTCGAAGAACTGTACATTCTTTTTTTTTTCGAAAACAAAGCCCCAACACTTACGAAATTAAGAGAAAATGAATAAATTTCATTAATGAGCCGTGACACTTTACGAAAAATTTTATAGGGCCTAAAATTTCGTTTTGTCAAACGGTGTAGAAAATCAATTTTAATTGAGAGGTCATATCCTGGCAACAGCGTTATTTACGAAATATTAAAGAGTTTGTAGCCGCTAACAAAAAGATATACTATCTTGATGAAACGTGGGTAAATGCTGGACACACGGTATCTAAGATATGGCAAGATACTTCTATAACTAGTCATCGCCAAGCTTTTATAGAGGGATTATCTACAGGTTTGAAACCACCATCAGGTAAACGACAGCGCCTAATTGTTACCCATATCGGAAATGACAGTGGATTTTTGGAAAATAGCGCTCTTGTGTTTATATCGATAAAAACAGGAGACTACCACGAGGACATGAATGCGGAATGCTTTAAAAAATGGTTAACTGAAGTATTACAGCGTGTAGAATGAAATTCAGTTATTGTACTAGATAACGCTTCTTATCACAGTCGACGAGTTGAACGCATTCCGATAATTTCCAGTAGGAAAGCGGATATGCAAACCTGGCTGCCGAATAAAGCAATAATATTTACTGAGGAGATGCTTAAAGGAGAATTAATGGACCTAATAAAGGAACACCGCCTTATCACTGCGAATTCAATCCTATTGAACTAATTTGGGTGCAAGTGAAAGGGTTTGTAGCTCGAGATAATAAAACTTTTAAAATAGCCGACGTTCAAAGTTTATTAAAAACCGGTATAGAACGTATAAAACCGGAAAATTGGCAGAATGCTATTTCCCATGTAATTAAGGAAGACAATAATATGTAGCGCTTGGACGGTATGATCGAAACGGTAGTTGAACCTTTAGCCATAACTTTAAGTTCTGACGATAAAGACGATTCCAATGATAGTTCTGCAGAATCAATGGATTACGAAACTTCATAGATTTAGATTTCAAGTAAGTGATACCAAGCTTAATTTACATATTTTTATAATAAACAAAATACAAAGATGAAGAACATAGATAAATTATTATAACAAAAATAGATAACCAACCTACTTTCATATAATATTATTTAATATTGCCGCATTTAATTTGCCAATAGTTTTTATACGCCACTGGCGTAATTCGTTTTGGCAATAAACATGCATTTATGACTAGTTGGCACGTGATATCGATAACTTCTGCAGTTTTAAGTGCATGATTCCATTCATTATACTCTGGTATAGTATTATTGTTGTACTTGAACAGGGAGGAATCACCTTCTTCAATATTTTGTCCGAGTATAGCTGATCGCCAACTAGATTCTTGTTAAATTTTTCGAATCAAAATAGACCGGCCCAACTGGTATGAATCTCCTTATAAATTTGTTATGAAAGAATAATTTCATTGGATGTCCTTAAATACGATGTTGCCAGATTTAAGATCTGTTCTAATTAACTTAAATTTATTCATTTGATTGTGAAGTGATAAGCAGTGTTGTTGAAATTAGAGGTTATAATACCAAATAATTGGGTTTGGTTGAGTTGAATGTTAAACAATAAAACAACTATTATATACGTTTTTAAACATTTATTTAATCTTCATACTGTCCCTCAGCTTGCCCTCCATCCTCATATTCGTCGGGAGCTTGAGGAAACTGTCTAATAATACTCGGATCCAACCACAATGAAGATCCTTCAACGCAACTAAACGAATTGGTAAAAAGTCCCGAATTGCTCACGATGTTACGTATCTTTATTTGAAATGGAAGATGGCGCTTTTCTAGCAAATCGCGCATGAATGTCGCCACTGACTGGTCGTCACAAAATTCTGTAAACAAAGGTATACAGATTAATCTTTTTAAAACTATTAGAGTTCTCACAATAGTATATTGTTGTATTGGGATTCTGTAGATTTACAAGAAGTTGTTTTTAACAAAATGGTACAAAAATAATAAATTTTTTTTCTAAAAACACTTCCCCCACTATTTATTGCAAGAACTAACCTGTCTAACATCAATAATATTGTATTATTATATATTTTATAGAATGTTTCGTTAGCGTTTAATTACCACGGACTCATCTGCAAAAAACTAAAATAGAATATTGTTTTTCGAGCAAGGAATGGTACTCATTGCCTACGAATATTATATTTACAGCATATAAATACTGTAAATCAAACCAGTAGAAAATGAGCATTTCTTGTGAGGTGAACATGGTTTTTCTACGTCTGTGAAATATGTAATAAAAAAAATAAGTCTAGTTGAGAAAATGCTGTTTTGTGATGTAACCTCAAAATAGCAGTTTGTGCAACAAAAGTGGATGTGAAGGTCATATCGCCGTAGTTCAATCTACTCGAGTTGTACAGAATATTTTTTCTACGACCCACTAACGAAAATTTACAAAAAAAAAATATTTTAGGTTATTAAGAAGAAATAACTAATTTTAAAATAATTTATAACTTTTAATAATTTTTAAAATAAAATAAATCAGAATCGAACTCAAGTCTTCAATGTGGAATGCAAGAACGCTAATCACAGGACCACCTATTCTTTTAATTTTGTTGCTTTAATACTCGTAATTAAATTGACTTCGTACAGTTTTATTTAAATTAACAAATTATTTATATAGACGAAATAAAAACAGAAATTCTATTATTTATTGATTCTACACAAGAATAACCCATTTTAATGTATGTTCAATCTCAATAACTGAAAAATATACTGACAATTTGAGAGAATTGTCACTTATTTAAAATTCGGTTGATCAAAATATGAACGATGATTGGTGGATTTAATTTTTTTGCAATGTTATCACTATCTAGAATGAATATGAAATATATTTGTTCAGTTGAAGGTAATAGGATATGTTTTCGTTTTGTAATATGTGCGTAAACAAGCTAATATCCCTGTGGATGTAGAAAAAAGGTATATTAAAACATTTTGCTTTACTAATACTAAATATAGAGGATATCTCACATAAAACTCTGGAAAGATATGATAGCGGGAAGATTAAAATATTTTGAAACCAGGTGGTGCAATTTACCAGGCTCCAAAAATGTTATTCAATGGCTGAGAGGTATTAAATTACCATTTTCTCAGATACCAAAACAAAATAAACATATAGGTAACCTTATACCTAGAATACCTCCTGCGAAAATTCCAATATTTAAGCAGGAGATACATAAATTGTTAATAAAAAGGGTGATAAGTAAATGCAAATTTATAGAAGATCAATTTCTATCATCATATTTTCTAATTAAAAAACCTGATAAGACATTTCGTTTTATACTAAATTTAAAATTATTAAACAAGTTTATTCCTACAGAACATTTTAAACTAGAAGACTACAGAACTGCTGCTAGTTTAATATCAAAAAATTCATATTTTGCAAAGTTAGAACTTAAAGAAGCCTGTTTTCTTTTGGCTATAGATAACAATTATAAAAAATATTTTAGATTTATATTTCAAAATACTCTATACCAATTTAATTGCGTTGCATTTGGCTTAAACAGAACACCATATATATTTACGAAATTATTAATACCCGTTGTTAAATATTTAAGAGAACGTGGAGTAAAATTGGTTATACAGGGTGGCTCACGCTCATAAGAAAAAAAAAATAAGTTCATTAAAAATTATTCAAACAAGAGTAAACAATTAATTTCTGGGAGACTTTTTTTCCTTAAAAATTCAAATAAATCGAAAACTAATAATAATAGTAATAGGGAACCTTTAGTTAACTGACATTATTTTTGATGTAGTTTTTAATTCTAAAATAAAAAACAGGGTGTTCCATTAAAAATAATATAACTTTGTATATTTTTTCTTATGTGAGACATCCTGTATACATCTAACAAATTTTAAATTGTAGCCGTCTGTAACCTACGTATTCCTCCCAAACGAATTTTTTATATCTTTGGTCGTTTTCCCATAAAGCTCCGTCCCGTTGAGCGTGAGCCACCCTGTATACCTTGATGACATATTGCTTATGGGCAGAGATTACAGCGAATGTAAAAAATTTTTAGAAATGACCAAGGATTTGTTAGAATTTTTAGGCTTTGTAATAAATTATAAGAAAAGTATATTGCTACCAACAAAAGAAATCTAGTTTCTAGGTTTTACATTTAATTCTAGTTTAATGGAGATTAAATTACCAAATAGAAAAATAGAAATTACAAGAAATTTATTGGAAAAATTTAGACATCGAGAGGTTTGTAGAATTAGAGAATTCGCATCCCTTGTTGGGAAGTTAGTATCAATGGCTCCTGCCTTTAAATATGGTTGGCTTCATACAAAACCATTTGAGAGAGTAAAACAAAGAAATTTAAAACTATACAAACAAGATATTAACAAAAAGATGCAAATTTCCACAAGTTTAAAAAATGAATTTTGTTGGTGGCTGCAGAATTTAGCTTTTTCCGGTAGAAAATTTATCAAAGAATCTTATCTTCTAGAAATTTATTCAGACTCTTCAAAAACAGGATGGGGGGCACACACAGATAATTAAGAGGCAAAGGGATTTTGGAGTGTTGAGGAAAGAACTGAACACATAAATTATTTGGAATTGTTAGCAGCCCTTAATGGGTTACAGTCTCTAACTACAAATTATAAAAATTGTAACATATTATTACGTATTGATAACAAAACTGCTGTAGCCTGTATAAATAAAATGGGAAGTATAAAATATAGGAAACTCAATAAAATTGCCCGAGATATTTGGCTTTGGTGCGAGTTTAGAAACATTTATGTGTTTGCTTCTTACATCAATACTCTAAAAAATTCAAAAGCAGATATTTTATCAAGAACAAAATTTGAAAATACTGAATTTGAGTTAGGATCTAAATATTTTCAAAGAATAAAAGAAAATTATGGAGAACCATCCATTGATCTTTTTGCATCTAGCAATAACGCAAAATGCTTAAGATATGTGTCGTGGTACCCCAATCCGCACAGTCTAGCAGTGGATGCGTTCACTATTGAATGGAAAACATATTATTTTTACGCATTTCCACCATTTACATTAATAGGCCGAATCTTACAAAAAAATTCAGGAAGAACAGGCTACTGGTATTCTTGTTGTGCCCTATTGGCCTTCACAACCGTGGTATCCGACATTTGTTCAACTATTAATAGAGAAACCATTAATTGTTAAAGCAAACAAAAATTTACTGATTTCCCCTTTCAGGCATCCACATCCGCTTCACAGATCCCTTTCCCTGGTGACAGGGAAATTGTCTGGGAGGCGATGAGAACCAAAAAGATTCCGGACTCGGAAAAATCCATCTCAGAAAAATCATTAAAACAGTATACAACTGTGTATAAAAAGTGGTGGCATTTTTGTTTAAATAAGAAATACAATCCCTACATTTATTTTTTAGATAACATTTTGGCTTTTTGCTGGAAATGCTAGATGAGGGTTTATCTTATTCTACACTCAACTGTTCAAGGTCAGCCTTATCTTTACTATTTGATTTTGGAACAAATGATGAAAAGATAATAAAACGGTTCTTAAAAGGGGCTTATAAAAAAAAAACGTCAAAACCTAGATATTCAAATACGTGGGACCCAAGTCCTGTTTTAAATTACTTGGAAAAAATGTTTCCATTAGAATCACAGTCCCTCAAAGAATTAACCCATAAGTTGACTATTAGCTCTCACCTCAGCCTATCGTATGCAAACTTTATCGAAGATTGAATTAAAAAACATATTGCAATTTCAGGATAGGTTAGAAATAAAAATATCATCAATAATAAAAACATCTGGATTGAACCGTTCTCAACCCGTTCTTATCTTTCCATTTTTTAATGAAAATCCAAGCCTTTGTGTGGCATCTCTTATAGACCATTATATTAAGGTTACAAAAGAATTTAGAACAGATGATTCATTAATTTATACTTACCAGAAACCTTATCATCCAGCTTCAACTCAAACTCTTAGCCGATGGATAAAAGAAATATTAGGTAAAAGTGGGATTAACACAGAGATATTTAGTAGTCATTCAGTTAGGCACGCGGCGATATCGTTCGGTTTTCGAGCAGGCCTAAATATAGATTTAATTTTAAAGACTGCAGGCTGGACTGAGAAATCTAGAGTTTTTAATACCTTTTATAATAGGCCAACTATTGAGGAAAAAGGTAGTTTTGCTAGGTGTATCCTTAAATGTGGAAAGAAATAACTACCTGATAATTTGTATTTGGATAATTATTTATTGTATTAAAATTTAGTTATTTCCAGAAACTATATATATTATACTTTGTGTTTGTTAAATTACAAAAATATGATAAAATTATATAATAAAATTATACATTTTATCCCCTAAAAATTTTATTTTTTTTATTTTGTAAGTAGGTACCTACAAAAAACATCATTTTGCACTCTCAAATATAGATTTATCGGTAAGCTGCACCCGAATTTGGTTCTTTAAACATCTATCAACTATCATAGAAGGACGAAGACGCGATGAATAATTATAAGATTAATCGACTTACCTGTAGGGATGATTAGTCTTAATTATTCGAGCGTCGTAGTCCTTCTATGATAGGGCCCACCCTGCCCTAGGCCCTAGATGCAGTTGGTGCAGTTTACCAAAAATGAAACTGAGCCAGGTACATGGGTTTATCGCCAGGCCGATGTGGGTACCGTATAGCAGTTTTTTGGTTTTAAAATCATTGCGCGCGATCCACAATAAAGTGTATCTATCAACTATCATAGAAGAACTACGACGCTCGAATAATTAAGATTAATTATCCCTACAGGTAAGTCGATTAATCTTATAATTAAATTTCAATACTCTAGCTTTGATTTTATATTAAAACATAAATAACTCAAAACCGGAATAGTGTGGCTTAAAACCTTTTTGAACCGAACCCTTTAATTAATAACCAATTTTCTGTACTTAGATTGTAAACTAATTTTTACCTTGTCCAGCAGCAATAAAGAAGGTTTGATTAAAAGTTAGGCTTCCGTTGACAATCCACGGCAATTCTTTGGGTTTCTTCACTTTACCGAAAGACTCTGTGATTAATCTAAAAGCGGCGTTGTCCGTTATCATTTCATTTACAAACTCCTTCCCACTGACAGGCTAAAAGCAAAATTATTATTATTAATTAATACCGAAACATATTATTTAAAAAAATTTACCTTGAACTTCAGTTTACTTTTGTGAAATTCGTAAGGAGTTTTAACATAGTATTTGTCAAAAATCTCAGTCATGTGAATGGTTAAGTCATCGTAATATTTATCATTGGATCTTATGTTATCAGTCATGTACAATCGGCCCGTGCTGTCAAAGTGTCTGATAATCCCTTGGGCAAGAGAAAAGCCTAGCTTAGCTAATCTAACATGTTCTGGCAATGCGGTGGGCACAGTTTTGTAGATTTCTGGATGTAAAACTGCAAGAAAAATAAAAAAAAATAATTAAACTATAATCCATTACTGAGTTATACTATTACCTATGGAATCGCTTGTATAAAATGTCACAGGTTTTCGATAAAATCCATTAACAAAAAAGTTTAACCTAAAACATAAAATTATATGTACAAATTACTTATTACAGAGTTTATTAGTTCTTCATAAACTTTGCTTAGTATTGTACAACTCTCTTGTCCATTGCACATTTTATTTTTTATATTTTAAATCACTATTGAGCATTATAAATTGCCAATAAGTATTAGAAAATGTTATTGAGCATTATAAACCGCGATTAAGTATTATAATTCTCTATTGCGTATTATATGTGGCTATTATAAATCGCTGCCGTTTATTGAGCATTATCAATTGCTATTGTAGCTTTCAAATCGCTAGTAAACTTATTAAATCACTATTGAATATTCTAAATCTCAATTGAAAGATATGTAGCTGTTAGGGCTACCTGTCAGAGGCCACAACAGTTAGTAACATTGAATAAGTTGGTATTACTTACTTCTTAGACATTTTGACAATGTCATTATTTTTATGTCATTTAGTTTAGTTGTTGATTTCATTATGTTACGTTATGCGTTAAGATATAATGTGTTTTTATGAAGAAATCCTTATACTTTTATTTCAAATTAGAGCCATCCTTACAGCTCAGTAGTGGGATAAAGGAAAATAATAAAAATTAAGTAATTCCAATAAGATATTTATATTATTTGTTGTCAAACGGCCAAACCACTTTTCAACATAAACGAGCGAAGCTTCGAAATTTTTTTCCAAAACCATGTAAATAAGGAAGAGAACAAATCAAAATGCGTCTCAGTCAAATGTTTCCCAATTTTTTAATACCGTTACATCGTTATTAGCACAGAATGCAGAATTGATAAAAATACTCGTATTAGCTATAAATAAGAAACCAGCACCCCTGCCGCCAAATAGAGAAGAAGTCACAATTTTTAACGTTCTCCCCAACTTATCAAAGACAGTTGATAAATTCAATGGCAAAAGCGGTCCTCAAGCAGCAAAGTCATGAGGTTTGTTCCAACAACAATCTTGGAACCATACACAAACCAGTCCACAACTTATTGTCGACGACTGATAGTTGAGGACTAATCCACGACCTGTCGAGGATTGGGACTGAATTCGTAACTTGGTTGTGTTGGAACACATGTTTCTATTGTCAAACATACTCTGTCAGTAATGTAAAAGTAAAAAGAATGTTAAATTTTGAATTTGGTAAATAAAAAATTATAAAACTCATTAAAAGATTTATAAATTTTGATTATTCGATTGGTTAGTACTTCAAACTTGACTTATTTTAATTTTTTTAAGTCAGAATAATAGTCCTTTTTACTTTCTACACTCGATCATTACTTATCTCATTATTAATAAGTTAACAGATACACGTATAAAATTATATACTATAAATAATGATAATTAATAAAAATCAAATTACGATTGAGAGTATCATAACGAATATAATCACGACATTTCGTGATTTATTTACGAGTTTACTTTCGTTTTGCGCATGTCTTGACAATTCGTTCCTATTCAAACCCAGGAACTGATTTGACAGTACAGAAACTGGTTTGTGATTAAATTTGGGTGTGTTGGAACACTAGGTTTTTGTACAGTTTTGAGTCCGAGATTTGTTGAAACACCAAATCTAGACTGCGCGGAATCCCGATAGTACGTAAACGGATTTGCTATTGTGTTGGAACAAACCTATGGTTAACGCAACTCCAAACTTCAACAATACTCCATAGTTGGCCTCAACCACAGTAGCTAAACATTGGTACCAGGGAAACAAAATATCATGACGAACTAGGAACAATTCAAATATTCATTCAAAAAGACTTTTATGGTGAAAGTGTATTTTAAATCGTACTATTATAAATATAATTTAAACATTTTTAAGCTATAATAAGCATTTTAAAGTTTTATTAAGCAACTTTAAACATTATGTGTCATTTTAAGCTTTCTTTTTAATTTTGTGTTATCGGTATCAACTACTTAGGTTATTAGCCTCGTGTTCTCTGTAGGTTTTGTTACTGATTATCAGCCCACTTTAGAAACAAAACTGTTAATAAGAAACCAACAGTAAATAGTCGAGGGAGGAATTCTATCTATGCATTAGAATGATTGTTAAATTTTTTAAACTAAATAAAAATCCCTGCCACCGGCAGGATTCCAACCAGAGTTCTTCGATCTTAAAATCATGATTTTAAAAAAGCAATATTTACTCTCTTAAGTATTATTAAGATCTTTTAAGTATTGCAAAGTTTCTTGGATCTTTTAAACTATGTTGAGTATTGAAAAACCTTTCTTCAGTATTACAATTTTTATTTTATACATTATAAATAGCTTTTGAGTAGTATAAATCAATATTAAGCATTATAAATTACTTTTTCGGAATTTAAATTGCTATTGACTGCTATAATATCTGTTAAGTAATATAAATAGCTATTGGGCCTTATAAATCGCTATTAAGAATTATAAATCGCTATCAAGCATTCTAAACCACAATTAAGTATTATGAACAGCTTATAATCGAGCATTTAAAAACGAACGAATTTAAATATTACTTAAATACTTTTAAAGTCCTTAAAAGCATTTTTATGTTTTATTGAACAGTTTGAAATATTATTAAGATCTCTTAGGCATTATAGATTTACAAAGTCTCTTAGTTCTTTAAAATTGTTTTAAAAAATTAAAGGCTTCCTTTCAAATTTTTCTTATACATTCTTAATCGCTACTTAGTATTATAAATTACTACTTGGCATTTAAAATCGTCAATTAGCAATTTAAATCACTACGGCGTATTATATATTGCTACTGCGCATCATAAATCGCTACTTAGCAATAAAAATATCTATGGAGCATTTCATTTTGCTTATAATTATTATAAATAGCAACAAAGTACTATAAAGCGCTATTGTATATTGTCAATTGCTACTGAGCATTTACAATTCAACGACTTTAAATCTTACAAACATTTTAAAGCAACAATAAATATTTAGAAGTTTAATTCGGATATTTAAACATTTGGTGACATTTTATAGCTCTATTAGTCGTTAGTAAACTTTGTAAAAATTATAAAGATCTCTTAAGTTTTATAAACAATTATAAAGTTTCTTGGTTCTATTAACCTTTGCTAAAAATGTAAGTTAGTTTTCTTAAACAGTTTAAATCGCTATTATTAATTATAAATCGCTACTGAGCATTTTAAATCACAATATGCATTTAAATCACTACTGCATATAAAAAAATCGCTATTAAGCATAATAAATTACTACAAATCGCCATATAGCAATTTATTTTGCAATTAAGCACTATTAATTGCAGTTAAGTAGTAAAGTCGCCATTAAGTATTATAAATCGCTATTGAGCATTAAAAATCGAAAGATTATGATTTGTACCTAATTATTTTAAACAAATACTAAGCATTTTAAAGTTTTATTAGGCATTTTCAAACCTTATGTAGCATTTTATAGCTTCATTTAGCACTAATAAACATTGTTGAGCATTATAAAGGTCTCTTCAGTATTACAAAACTTTACAAAGTTTAATAAGTCTTTCGAATTTTGTTGATAATTTTATTTCTTTGGAAATATACATTTTAATCGCTATTCAGCCTTATAAATCACTACTAAGTATTTCAAATAGCAATTAAGTAATTTATATCAGTACTAAGCATAAAACAGCTTCTAAATATTGTAAATTACCATAGGGTATTAAAAATCGAACGATTATGGAGCTTACTTAAACATTTTTAAACCTTTATGGGCATTTAATTACTCCATTAACTATTATAAAAATAATATAAGTACATCTGAACTATATTAAAACTTTATTAGGCATTTTAAATATTATAAAGATTTATTAAACATTTAAGTCTGAACTGAACATTATTAAGCTTCTAAATCTTTGTTTGGCATTATTAAGTTTTAGTGTTTAAAATTATATATGAGTATACTTGAAGTGATCTTCCAATAAAAGCTACAGCAATAGAGTACTTACAATGTTGCCGGTGAAGACTTAGACCCAACAACGTTATATAAAAATCTCCTGTAGTTTTTCAGCAAACTCACAACATTATCCTGGAAATTTTCTCTAACTTTAACGAATTTATAATTATCTCTAGTAGAATTAGTATCACCGGAAGTTATCAAACCCAAATTCAACCTATCGAGTTTCTTAACGAATTTATCCTTCGACATATCATCTAATGATGAATCCTGAAAGGATTTTTTTAGCGTCTTCTTGAGATCGGCGAACATTTTATTGGACTGGTAGACAGCTAGGAATATTTTTTTGGCAGGCGACAGATCATAGAGGATCCAAGATACAACATCTGGCATAATTTGTTGAGCTAGATCCATGCAGTACAATTTTTTATTCAGTTGATTTGTCAAAAGATTGTAGTAAAGATGAAGGCTCGTTAATTGTTGCAACATTTTTGTTAATTTGCTGGAAATAAATATATACAGGATAAAAATGTGGAATATAAGTTTTATGTACAATATAAACACAGAAGTTTCTAAGTTGATAGATAGTAGGGAAGAAATATATATTTTCAAAATATTTTTTTAATGATATAAATATTTTAATTTTTAAGTAAATATAAAATGTGATGGAATGAATCAAATAGAATAGTTAAAGATCCTACCGAATATTTTAAATAGTTATTAGTGTGAGTACCTGTAATATTATTAACAGTATAAAGTATACTTTAAATCAACTTTTATTGCTTCGAAATAATATACTAGTTTGTGCAAGAAGAGAGGATATGATGGCCATATCGCACGAAAACAAAGTTTGAGCACGATGCCGTAGATGGAGTGCTCAATCATCTGAGTGCAATATGAACAATCCACTCGAGTTGCACAGTATATTTTTTCTACGACCCACTACAATCTACAATTTTTAAAAATTATATTAGGTTATTAAGATAAAATAACTAATTTAAAAATAATTTATGATTTTTACTAATTTATAAAATAAAATAAATTTAAAAAAGAAGATTTAATGTTTAATGTCTCCAATCCTAGATTTGAACCCAGGACATCTTGCGTGGCAGCCAAATGCGCTAGTCTTAGCTCCATCGCTACACCTAACACGTTAGTTTTAATACACATAATTAAATTGATTTTATTTATTTTAATTAAAATTCATGATTTATTTGTAAATATAGATGAAATAAAAATGCTAATATTTATCGATTCCACACAAGTTAACTAATTTTAATGTATATTTACTCACAATAATTAAAAACTAAAACTAATGACAATTAGTTTGACAGAATTAGCACTTATTTAAAATTTAAAAGTAGTAGTAGCTGGGTGACCAAAATATGAATTGTAATTGGTGGATTTAATATTTTTGCAAAGTTTTTTCGAGGTAGAATGGATATATTGTCATGATATCTCTAATCCGACCCTGTGCCTGTGTACACACGCGGCCTTCACATGGCAACCAATTCGTGATCGAAGCAACGCTGACGTGTGGAAACAGCCGGACCACGTCCCGAATGTAAAAGAATACGACGGAATGTCTGCAGATGAAGCACTGAAAGCGACTGGAATGGCGAAGAGTGCCGCTTAGTCATAAAAAGGAATGTTCGAGAGCCTCTCGTATTTTTCAGTAGCGGATTTGGACTAATATAAATAGCCGACGTATCAGCGCCGAGTTTAGTTTAATGTAAAACATTGTATTGAAAAGTTAAAGTGTAAGAAATAAATTAGAATTGTTAGTTAGTGTCTAAATATTACATAAATTAAATAGTACGTCTAAAATAAATAGTAAATAGTGTGTTTTTAAATAAATAAAATTTAAATAAATTAGACTTTCGTCACATTGGTGTTAGAAGTGGAACTATAAATAGTGGACAATAATGGCTAAAAGACTATGTGATTTAAAAGTAACCGAGCTACGTCGGGAGTTAGAAGTTCGCGAGGTGGAGACGACAGGGAAGAAAGCAGAACGGCAGAACGACTTAAAGAAGCACTAGAAAATGAGGGTTTGGATTCGGAGACGTATCTATTTTCTAATGATTCATCTTCTGCTATAATTTCTTCCCTTTCTTCTTAGAAAATAAAGTTTCTTCGGACATTTCCTCCTTAAAAACTAAAGTTTCTTTAGAGATTTCCTCATTGGAAAATAAAGTTTCTTCAGAAGTTTCTTCTAATAAAAGTGATATTACTTCCTTGGAAACTAAAGTTTCTTCTGACATTACTTCCTTAGAAAGTAAAGTTTCGTCCGATATTTCTTCCTTAGAAGAAAAGGTGACTTCTGACATAACTTCTTTAAAAACCAAAATTTCTTCCGATTTGGAAAATAAAATCTGTTCATTGAAAGATGAAATTTTTTTTGATATGTCTTCTCTATAAAATGATATATCTCTGCTGATGTGGAAAACAAGATGTCTTCTGTAAAGAAGAAAATAAAAGAGATGGAAGAGAAGGTAGAAGAACTCAAACATACAGAACCGGTCAAGGACGGTGAAATAAAGTGCCATGAGGTGGGGTCGAAAGTGAAATTGGAAGGAGCTGTAAACTCTCCTCGTGTTAAGGCCCCAACTTTCGACGAAAAGATTTCATGGACGAACTACCTTAAGCAGTTTGAAAGAGCTGCCAGAGCAAACGAGTGGTCTGAACGAGAGAAGGCAATAAATTTGACCATCGCTCTTCGAGGAGACGCTTTGGATGTCCTTCAGACTATACCCGTGGAAGAGACAGATGATTTTGAACAACTGACAAAGAGACTCAACATGCGATATGGCCACGAACATTTGGAGCATCTATACCAGTCACAGTGAAAGAATCGCAACCAAAAACGAGACGAAACCCTTCAGAGAGTTCGGGAAAGATTTTATTGGATGAATAGTTCCGATGATGTAAAGGACTGGTGTAAGAAATGTACCAGCTGTGCTATTAGTAATACACCTCAACGGAAAAGAAAAGCACCCATGAAGCAATACAACGTTGGTAGCCCATTTGAAAGGATCGCCTTAGATATTGCTGGACCATTCCCCATGACCGAGAATGGTAATAAATACATGATGGTGGAGATGGATTACTTCACGAAGTGGGTGGAAGTATACGACATTCCAAATCAAGAGGCCGCAACTGTTGCAGATGTGTTGATTAAAGAGTTTATCTGTCGATTTGGAGTACCCTTGGAGATCCACAGTGACCAAGGCAGAAATTTTAAAAGCCAACTCTTCCGTAGAATCTGTGACAGACTAGGCATGAAGAAAACCCGAACCACAGCATTGCACCCACAATCTGATGGAATAGTAGAGCGAATGAATAAGACCATTGGAAAATATCTGTCAAAAGTGGTTTTAAACCATCAGCGAGATTGGGATCAGTATCTTTCGCTCTTTGCAAGCATTAAAACTTCTAGATGAATCGCATTATATTTTCTATTTGGTAACAAAGAACACCTTCCGAGATCGATGCACCTATCAGGATGTATGGGAAGCATTACTCAGTCTAAGGAAGCATGTACTGGAGTCCAATATACAGAAACTAGCTATGCCAAAGATAGAGAGCAATCAGCTGAATTGGAGGACTATTAGAAACATGGTGGAAGTAATCTTTTAAGATACTCAGGTTGAAATACTGGTCTGCAGCCATTCTCCCAGCGTTCAGGTTATAACGAAGACTGTGCCTTGTTACTTCCATGCAACTGGAAATTGTAAAAGAGGATCCAGTTGTAAATACAACCATTCAGTTTTAGTTCCAGGAGGAACTATTTCTTAAGGAGGGGACAATGTCATGATATCTCTAATCCGACCCTGTGCCTGTATACGCACGCGGCCTTCACATGGCAACCAATTCGTGATCTAAGCAACGCTGACGTGTGGAAACAGCCGGACCGCGTCTCGAATGTAAAAGAATAAGACGGAATGTCTGCCACTAAAGCACTGGAAGCGACTGGAATGGCGGAGAGTGCCGCTTAGTCATAAAAAGGAATGTTCTAGAGCCTCTCGTATTTTCCAGTAGCGGATTTAGACTAATATAAATAGCGGAAGTATCAGCGCCGAGTTTAGTTGAATGTAAAACATTGTATTGAAAAGTTAAAGTGTAAGAAATAAAATAGAATTGTTAATTAGCGTCTATATAATACATAAATTAAATAGTACGTCTGAAATAAATTGTAAATAGTGTGTTTTTAAATAAATAAATTTTAAATAAATTAAAATTTCGTCACATAATAAAAGGCAGAACTCGATGCGAAAGAAAAATAATTTTATTGTGTAAAGAATATGTCACAATTATTAATGAGAACTCTATCAAAAAACCTGAATAAATATTTTAGCACATACATGGAAATCGTACCAAAAAAGAAGTGTTGCCTCACATCAAATGAGATAGTTCTGATATTTTTATGGTTGTTATGAAATGAGTAATGACAAACTCAAGTTTTCCACCTCCAAAGTCCTTCGGATCACAGTTAAATAGTTGAAAATTCATTCAAATTTAAGAATTTTTCCATTTTTGTAAATTTTTAATACCAAGGACCTAAGTTACGACAACAATTACTATGGAAACTTTTTATGTCAACTAATTTTGCATTCACTACCTTCCTCACTAAGTTGTATTTCTAAATGTTTTGGAGTTTCAGAACCAGGATACGAGTTTTTGCAAAAAAATACATCACGACCTTTTAGAATCTTTCTGTCACTTCATAATGCAACTTTTGCGTACGGCTTTCCAAATTACTTTTAATCAGTTGGTCCGATAACTGAAGATATGCAGAACACCCAAAAACTTTGAACTTTTGCATACTAAAGCTTAGCTTATATTTTATTGTGTAGCATTTTTGTAGGGAACCTATTAATTATATAGGAAGCAGTCTATACTACTTCAGACCACATTATTCTTACTTTGGATCCAAGAAGTAGACAGCGAACTTTTTCCATCAAAGAGCGGTTCATTGTCTGAATTACTCCGTTTTGGCATGAAGTTTATCTAATAGTGGTCTCCAGTTATATGCCATCTTCTTCATATTAGTTTCTGTGGTCTCGATTTAAAAATTCTCTACCATCATCACAGGGAAATCTGCTGATTTTAAAATTAAAATGAGAGGTAGCCATTGCTTCAAACCTTTTAAAACTGCTGAATTATTTTACAAAATGAGTAAAATCATCTATAAAAACCAAAACATATTGATTGTTATCATACAATGTAGGATTAACTGGTCCAAGTACATTACTATAGATGAATTGAAACGTAACTTGGCTCTGATTATAGTATAAGTGTGGTAACTTTGTTTGCTTTGATTGTATACATACTTTAAATGGTTTAGAGAATTGAAATTTCTCATTTGAATTACTAAGCATATATCTGATTTTCTTAAACTTGTGCTGCTAAGTTTTCCAAGACGCTGATGCCAAACATTTGAAATTGTACCCATACAAGTCGCATCAATTGAAATCTCCAAAACGAAAATTTTATTTGTTT